TTTGTATTTTTAGTAGAGATGGGGTTTCACCATGTTGGCCAGGCTGGTCTTGAACTCCTGACCTCGTGATCCACCTGCCTCAGCCTCCCAAAGTGCTGGGATTATAGGCGTGAACCACTGCGCCCAAACTCCAGCAGATCTTTACATCATTTTATTCCCTGTAGTTTCCAGAATAGAATCTACTTTCTAAACTTTCTCCCCAATCCTTGGAAATGTTATGTTCTCAGTAAAGTCAGTGAGCCCTTGTGGCAATGCTGAGTGGCAAAGGCTGCTTCTGGGTGTGGAGAGATTCAGGCTGATGCCTATCCAGCGGCCCATGCCACGGGTCGTTCTGTGTCTATGTGCGTGTGTATGTGTGGATAAAGGGCCTATCTTCCCCATCCTGCGGGTGCAGAAGTTGCTTCTCCAGCCTGCTCCTAACACACTGCCAGCCTGAACTTCTAGGTGCCAGTGGCCGCCTGAGAAGGACAGAGCTTGGCTGGGGCTGGTAACTGGCCTTAGGACAGGGTCTCCCCTGAGTCCTGGTTCTGGTTCCAGTTCCATTGTCTCTTCCCTATGAGGAACTGGGCAGTTCCTTTGGCCTCTCTGGGCTCGTTTCTTGGGGAAAGTAAGGCAGCTGAAGAAAACCTTTCTGGGGTCCACTCCAGCTCTGATATCCTAGGGCGTCAGAAGAATGGGGGAAAATGAAAGCAAAACCTATTCGAAGTCAAATGACAGACTGTGGACCTGAGCTCTGGGGTGACAGAGAGGGACCTTGTCCGAGCTGAGCCAGGCTGGCAACCTTGAGTCCTCCCAACTGTGCCTTGTCCTCAGTTTCCCTCTGATGTTTCTGAATCCTGACTGCCATCCCATGAGGTGGGGGCAGCCGAGCTCCATCTGTCCAGCAGCAACACATCTTGAGAAGCCACTCACCAGCAGCAAGCCCCCTCCTCCAAGCCCCTGACCCTCTGTCCTTGCAAAGGGCAAAATCTTATCAAAGTGCCGTGGGAAGAATGAGAGAAACCTTACCTGAAATGTCAGTGACTTTTATAGCTGTAGCTCGTGGAAACTTTTCTTTGAGAATTTGGGTCACTCTGAGCTCCCCCTCAGTCTGGGTGGCAAACATCCGATGGTGAAGTGGAAGCTGCCACAGAACAGAGAGGAAGGTCAGGGCAAAGGAAGATGCTGCTGCCCCGAGCTGGGCCACTGTGCAAGGCTGCCTGCCATTCCCCTGCAAGGCAGGCCCCTGAGCCCTTGCCAGCATAGCCATGGGTTATGTCAGAGGGGCTCTGTGGTATCAGGAGTCCATGTAAGTGCCCCGGAACACAGAATAAACTTTTATTGGCGGGGAGAGGATGATTGTTAATAACTCAATTTGACTCCAGAGACAAGAGGCCCCAAACCTAATTCAAGAGATGTTAGATTCCTCATGATAATGTCGTGTGACACTATTATGCCGATAGTTTTATAGGTAAGGAAACTGAGGCACACAGTAATGTGCCCAAGGTAGAATTCGTTAAGAAGACAGAGCCAGAAAAGCTAGACAACCTGCCTCAGATCCATACCACTAGGTCATTCAGCATCTACTGCCCTGGATGGTGGGGCCAAATTCCACACTCCCATCTCCTTTAGGCCTGATTAACATGTCTTGCCCTCCCCAGTGGGATGTGACCTCACAGCCCAGTGCTCAATTAGCCAGCTATTCTTCATCATGTACTCCTTCTCACTGGGGAGCAAAGTCAGAATTCTACAAAAGAACCTGAAGAAGGAACATCTGTAGGTTGTTTACCACTGGCAACAACACCCCTTCCCCAATGGCTACCATGGGGAACCTATGGTTGTGTTTTTTTTGGAGACAGAGTTTTGCTCTGTTACCCAGGCTGGAGTGCAGTGGCACGATCTCAGCTCACTGCAACCTCCACCTCCCAGGTTCAAGTGATTTTCCTGCCCCAGCCTCCTGAATAGCTGGGATTCCAGGCACCCACCATCATGCTAGGCAAATTTTTGAATTTTTAATAGGGACAAGGTTTCACCATGTTGGCCTGGCTGGTCTCGAACCCCTGACCTCAGGTTATCCACCCACCTCAACCTCCCAAAATGCTAGGATTACAGGCGTGAGCCACTGCGCCTGGCCAGGGGAGCCCGTGTTTCTGATGGAACACATCTCAACATTTAGTAGTGAAGGAGCAGAAAAGCAGGTCGGCAGTCACTTGGCTGGGCTGAGTGCATGCTGAAAAGGCAGACTGGGAATGGAGTGTGGCAGGCCTTGAATGCCAGGCTAAATATTGTGGACTGTATCAGACAGGAGATGGGACTCCAGGTGATGGAACCCAGTCTCATGGTACCAAAGTAACCTGCAGGAAACAGTGCCTTCAGGAGCGAGTCAGGAGAGATGCCCAAGTAAGAGGCATTACAATGACGGAAGCACCGGGCACTGGTCCCTGACTAGACGTAGATGACAGGTTGGAGGACACCAGGGCCGTTCATGGGTGCTGGTGCTGAAGGTCCCACCCCTCTACCCCTCAGTCCTTCCTGATAGCTCAGAGCAGGGTCCTGTGTCACAGAATCTCAGAGCACCACTCCTTTAAAATGAGCTGTGCACTGGCTCTCTCACCACTGGTCTTACAGGCCAGAAATGAGTCCGGCAGCATCCCAGAGCTGACCCCAGGGCAGGCTCTCAGAGGCACTTGGTGCTGGATGAATGAATGAGCAGGGGAAGAACTATTCAATTAGGGACAGAAATGCAGGACAGGAGAAAGGCCCAGAGTGTGATGGTCTGTATGGAGGGACAGAAACTTGATGTTCAGAGGCTGGGCAGGATTGCTGGGAGTGAGGGTGGGATGGAGCTGCTTTTGGGGGCACAATCTTGGGGGTAAAGGCGGAGAGTAACCAGATGGCAGGCAGAATCGGCAGCTACTAAGGGGTGAGAGTGGTGAGCGTTGCAGAATCCTTGGGAGAAGCCTTTTATCTTAATGGATCTGTGGGCAGCGGCCTTTAGTGGAACAATCAACTGACATCCCCAGATGATCACTGTCCACGCTGAAAGTCACCGCAGTGGAAGAACTTCTTTTCATGCACAGGAGAAGCAGGTTGAGAACCAGGGGAGAAGGAAAATGAAAGGAAAGAGAAAGAAGGGTATGAGTTGAAGCAAAGGATGGATCAGAAACGGGGAGAGATTAGGACAGCGCGTGGGAAGTGCCCCCTGCTTGGGTTCTGCTCCGGTAGTGTGGGATTTGGAGGAGGATCAAGGTCAGAGGCCCAGTCGACCTTCCCAAGGCCCTGGCCCCGCTGCAGTCCCCCGCACCCACGCCTTGACTCTGGGGCTATGACTCCTCTCTTCTGCTCCGTAAATCAATCCTTTGCCCGCTGTACTACGACTGTTCATGTGTTCGTCCGTCTGACCTTCAACCTCCACCCAGCTCGGGAGCTCCCCCAGAGCGCGCCGGAGCTTGAAATTTCGAATGCCGTTATCGCTGAGTGAATGAATGAACGAAAGAATGAATGAATGAGAGAAAGGAAGAGGAGCCCCCCATTGCAGGTGCTGCGCGCGCCCTCCGGGAGCTGTTCCTCAAGCCCCGACAGCCGCCGGACCCGCGGTGCCTGCGCAGCTCCCGTCCCGGGGAGAGCAGCCCCGACCCTGCCCGCGCTCACCCCGCGGATCCTGCGAAGCAGAGGCGCTGCCGCGGCCGGGCTCCATGCCGCCATGCCCGGCCGACGCGACCCGCCGCCCGAGGTCACTGTATGACCGAAAGACGCGGAGCAGGGAACCGAGAGCCGCTGCCTTGGGAGAGGCTGCCCCCTGCCGCCCGGAGGCCGTCAACCTCCAGGCCCCGCCCCAGTCCTCAAGGCCCCGCCCCAGAGGCCTCCTGTCGCCTGGCTCCGCCCCCGGAGGCTGCCGGCCTCCCGGCCCCGCCCAGGCCTCCCCTGGCCCTGGCTGACTAGCCACCCCCGACACTGCAGCGCCTGCCGGCCTCGGGGTCCCGCCCTCTGCCTTCGCTCGCGCCGCGCTCCTTCAGCATCCCCAGGGCCTGTTTCACGGATGGGGTTCCCTTGCCCGCGTGAATATCTTCCTCCTCAGCTCGGAAACACTCTAAGGTCTCAGCGACCGATACTGGCCTTCCCTCATCCGAATACCCCTCGTGCCCCGATGTACTTTTCCATTCCCACTCCACATGCTGGCAGCCTAGCTTCTAAGCTGAGGAGCTTGGCCTTCGCTCCAGGTGCTGGAAGGATTTGATTCGCAGTTTAGAAAGATCGCTCTGCTCCTGTGAGGAGGGCGTGTAGGGGCTGCAACCAGAGACACAGTCAGAAGCTCCGAGGCTACAGCGATGGTCCAGGTGAGAATGGAGGTGCCTAACTAAACCAGTGGCGGGAGGGATGGAAGAATGAACTGAGACACTTGGGAGGTGAATGGAATCCAGCGATTGCATGTGGGCTGAGGGTGGGAAAGGTATCTGAGATGACCCCCGTTTCTGGCTTGGACAATGACTTGGATGGAGGGTTAGGTGGGAGCTGAGTAGAGTCCACGAACAGTTTTTAATCTGCCTGAGTTTAAGGTGCCACAGGACACAGCCTAACAGAGGCCCAGGTTGGAGCCATGGACCATGGAGTCATGAGAATGGAAGGGAAGCTGACGCCATGTGGGATGGGGTAGAACTGTCCGCAAATTCGTCCCGCCTCTGGAGTCTTCAGACCAGTCAAGACCGAAATTGAACCAAGCCTCTACTCTCTATAGCTGTTATTTGTTTGCAGCACGTGGTCAGGTGGCACTCTGCAGGATTTATCAGCTTTTTGCCAACATTCTGGCCTATGCAATCAATACGTCCCTTCAGCGTTGCACTTGGATGGATTGGACCTACAGTTGTTCTATATGGATATTATCTAAATTATTTATTACAGTATTAGCTGACTCCTATCTTCTGGCCTTCAGAATTTCTCCTTTGGATCAATTACTAGCCTGTCTTACATTTTCTGCTTCATTCCTTTAAAATGTTTACAGATGATTTGCTAACTTCTAAGTTTTCTTCATTGCGGTCAATGATGCAATTTAAACTGTCAAAAAATGTTTTTTCTCAAGCAGAGTAGTAGTGGTAAACCATTCCCTTGCTCTTCAGACAGCACGGTTTAGATGAGGCACACCCATCCCCAGCTCTAGGAATGTAAACAGGACCCAAGTCTGGCTAATCAGAGATTGGCTTAGGGTTGGCCCCATGATCTGAGCCAGACCAATGACAGTTGGTAGAGGGACTTTTCTGGAACTAAAGAAATGGATCCTGGCGGGGCATGGTGACTCATGCCTGTAATCCCAGCACTTTGGGAGGCCGAGGCAGGTGGATCATCTGAGGTCAGGAGTTCGAGACCAGCCTGACCAACATGGTGAAACCCCGTCTCTACTAAAAATACAAAATTAGCCGGGCGTGGTGGTGCATGCCTGTAATCCCAGCTACTCAGGAGGCCGAGGCAGGAGAATCGCTTGAACCCGGGAGGCGGCGGTTGCAGTGAGCCAAGATGGCGCCATTGCACTCTAGCCTGGGCGACAGAGCGAATCTCTGTCTCAAAGAAAAAAAAAAACAAATGGATCGTTTTCTTTGGCAAATTCTGTTTTAGAATCGGGATATATATGCAGGCTTGTTACGGAGGTATATTGCTTTTGCAACTTGTAGTTTAGAATCGGGGTATATATGCAGGCTTATTACAGAGGTATATAGCTTTTGCAACTTCTAGTTTAGAATCAGGGGGTATATATGCAGGCTTGTTACAGAGGTATATTGCATGGTGCTGAGGTTGGGAGTATGAACGAATCCGTCCCTCAGGTAATGAGCATAGTACCCAACAGGTAGTTTCAACCCTTACCCCCTTCCTCCTTCCCCGTCTTGTATTCCCCAGTGTCTGTTGTTCCCAGACATTGATCTTTTTCTGCTATGTTGCTAAGCTGGTAGAAAGGCTGGAGTTGCTGGCAACCATCTTTGCAACAATGCAGGGAGAGCTACTTTGGAAATGAAGCAAGACAAAGAAGAAAATAGATAAAAGGAAACAAATAAATGTTTGACTTTGCTTGTACAGCTGGAAACCAGCAATGCTGGAAATAAGCACTATAGGCAGTTTAATGGGTTTGTCACTTGTAACCAAGTGACCCATGGCAAGCTCACAGATTTGTATTGGCAGAATTCCTCCTTTTATTTAAAATGGTACTTTTGGCCAGGCAAGGTGGCTCACACCTGTAATCCAAGCACTTTGGGAGGTCGAGGCGTGCAGATCACCCGAGGTCAGAAGTTCGAGAACAGCCTGGCCAACATGGCAAAACCCCGTCTCTACTAAAAATACAAACCATTAGCTGGCTGCGGTGGCCTTTCTACCAGTTTTTTGTCTCCAAAAAAAAAAAAAAAAAAAAGGTACTTTTGCTTATCTCTAACCTTCCTCTTCCCCATAATTTAACAATTGTCCATACTATCTGTTACTCTGAGTTGCTCTCTGCCCCATTCTCCCCCTCTTATCCTCAGTTTCCCCTAGGCTGTCAGAGCCATCTGAAATGAAAACATTTAGGTCGCGCATAGTGGTTCATGCCTGTAATCCCAGTACTTTGGGAGGCTGAGGCGGGTGGATCACCTGAGGTCAGGAGTTCGAGACCACCCTGGCCAACATGATGAAACCCCATCTCTACTGAAAATACAAAAACTAGCCAGGCATGGTGGCGCATGCCTCTACTCGCAGCTACTCGGGAGGCTGAGGCAGGAGAATCACTTGAACCTGGGAGGCAGGGGTTGCAGTGAGCCGAGATTGAGCCACTGCACTCCAGCCTGGGCAATAGAGTGAGACTTTGTCTCAAATAAATAAAATGAAATAAAATGAAAACATTTACCACTTGAAATCCTTCAGATTCCCCATCACCTACCTACAGGCAAAACTCCCAAATTCTTTTGTATGATTTAACCACTATCTGCCTGTCCAACTGAAATCTACCCTCTACTAATATTATACTTGCACCTCCCTGCATAAGCTATGCTGCAAGTTTGGTTATGCAGTTGCCCATCTTTTAAGGCTCAAGCCTTGTCTTCTCCAAAGAGCCACCTCTGACTGCCTCACAGTAAGCTTAGAGCCTGCAAGTTACCTGTAACTTTTGTTGCACTTGTGGCCTTTTACAACTATGAATTTATGTATGTGTCTGTTCTCACTGGTTTATAAGCTCCATGAGGATAGAGCCTTCCTTGAGTCATCTGTCAACAGCCCAATATGGGACAAAAAGTGCATGCACTGTGATTACTGAACAGAACTGAGAGAGGCTAAGCAATTTGCGCTCCACAGGTTTAAGTCTGAACTCTTCTAGAAAAGGATTTGCGGGATGATCTGACCAATCTTGGGCTTCCAAATTAGTTCCAACAGTTCCAGTATTTTTTTTTCTGACAGAAGCAAATAAGTTTTACTTTATGATTAAAACAAGTGAAATGCATTTAGTCCCAGGAAATGTCAATCCTTTCTGCATCTTACTTTTTTTGCTGTGACCTTGAGATTCTCTTGTTCTCTTCAGTTGTATTGGTCCATGATCACTCATAGCTTTCATACATATATATACATCTGAAAATCAGAAAATTCATTAGGTAGGAACTCTTTGGATGCATCTCCTTTTTTAACCTCATTGGGATGATTTTTTTTTTTTCTTTTTTTCTTTTCTTTTATTTTATATTATTATTATACTTTAAGTTCTAGGGTACATGTACATAACGTGCAGGTTTGTTACATATGTATACTTGTGCCATGTTGCTGTGCTGCACCCATCAACTCGTCAGCACCCATCAACTCATCATTTACATCAGGTATAACTCCCAATGCAATCCCTCCCCCCTCCCCCCGGGGTGATTTTTCATTGCACCATCATTTTATTTTATAGAGCTTCCTAGCACTGCTGAGCATGCAGAATTTTTGCAAATGCAATCCAAAGACTTGCTATATACTAGCTATTTGAACTTGTCTGAGCTTATGTGGCATGGTCTAAAGAATACTGAAATATTTCTGGCATACCTCTTAATTGCAATCACTTTCTCCAGGTTGCTTTATGGATTAAATGAGATAACCTACTAAAGGACTCCAGTAAAAAGCTAAAAAGGTAGCTAGCTTTTGAGGTGCTGTGGCAGAGACTGGCATCTAGTGGCCAGTGATAATGGTGCAGGATAGTGTCTGCACCTAAGTAGGGATAGTGCAGGCTGTAATGTCCATACCTAGTGGGGACATCAATGGGGTATTTGTCAGAGATGCTCCATGGCATAGTTTGGACATTGTTTCTGACTGTGCAGGTTCAAACCCAGAGTCTGGCTCTCCCAAAGATTATCTGAGTTATTCTATTATTTTATAAAGTTTGAAACAGCCATTAGATACCCTTACAAACTTATCATTTTTGTGATGATTTTAAGCCTACTGAAAATGTCAAAAGAAATCCAAAACTGCTAGTTTACCCACAGCTTATACAAAATTAGTATTAACTAGGCCAGGTGTGGTGGCTCATGCCTGTAATCCCAGCACTTTGGGGCCAGGGCAGGCAGCTTACTTGAACTCAGGAGTTTGAGACCAGCCTGGGCAATATGGCAAAACCTCATCTTTACAAAAATTATAAAAAATTAGCCGGGCATGATGGTGCGTGCCTGTTTTCCCAGCTACTCGGGAGGCTGAGACAGGAGGATCACTTGAGCCTGGGAGGTGGAGGTTGCAGTGAGCCGAGATTGTGCCACTGCACTCCAACCTGGGCAACAGAGACCCCATCTCAAAAAAATAAAATCAGTGTTAACTTGTACTATTTAGCCACATTCATTAAGTTTTTAATTTTAACTCTACTATCTCACAACCAGGAATGTACAAGAGATCTGGAGCCTGATTCACATGGCAGGAAGGAGACCACGTATTTTTGTTTGGGATGGGTTTTAGCCACTATCAGAGGAATAGTTTGTTTCTTAGGGGTTGAGTCCTAGTAGTATGATACTTAGTTCATTTAGGAACTTCCTTTTTTAAGGGCTAAGAAAACATGTTAGCTACTAAATAATATGCAAAGATAACTTTCCAAATTTAAGCTGTACTCAAAAATCCACAGAACCTGCAAAACTCTCAAGTTTCTATATTTAAATAGAAGTGTGTGTTGATATACATACTTTAATCAGTCATTTCTTGCTTTCAATATATTTTATTCTGACGAAGTTACAAAAGTAGATACAAAATACTTTTTTTAAAAGTACAGTTAACTGACTTAGAAAAATAGACAAAGCCCCTAAGGATTTTAAAACACAACATAAATTTTTATGTAAAGAACATTTAAAAATATTTTAGGTGGTAACCAAAACTAACTTACACAAACTATTTTTGATGTAGAATAGAATGCTGTTCTATAATAAGAAGTCTATAGCACACTGGTAATCCATTTGGATCTACAGAATACTTGTTTGGAATAGAATCTGATAATGAGAGAAAACCCAAATGAATGTCAGTGCAGTTGCTTCAAAAAAAATTACTGCTACCACATGTACTATCATCCCCCAAGGCCTTTTACAGTCTGAAATATCAAAATTGAAAGCAAAAATCGGATGACTAAAGGACTACTACTTTACCTCTTTTCAGAATTCTACAATAGTAGAAACCAAACCCCCTTACTGATCCCGGGGAAAGAATGTGCCTGTTGGAGGTGCTCAGTGTTTGGTGTCCAGGTTGTCATTTTTCAGGTAAGGGTTTCATACTGACAGGAGGCAGGCTCCTAAAACCAGGCAGTAGCACCAGCACCATGACTAGGGCTGCTTAAAAACAAATTTCTGGGACTTATACTCTTTGGGCCTGATTTGTTAATGCTTATGAGGTAATGATATTATGTTTGAGAAGCTCTACTTCTAGTATAACCTCAATGCTCAGAGAGAAAGCCAACAATACAATCAGGAAACCACAATATTGACAAAACAGTATTACCACCAAGATTGTTCTTCTTGCCTTGGCACTACTAAAAAACTTTACCTTTGTTACTAAAGTCATGGTG